CACATGCTTTTCACTAGATGGTATATGTAGACAGTCCAATGTGAGTATCATTTCAACAGGAAGTGGCTCTTTTTGGAATCAAATTATTTAAGACATTTGACTTCAACATCAGTATTCTGCAGTGCTGTTATTGTAAACAAAAAGTAAAATAATTAAAAGTAAGCCTCTCTTTATCTCCTTGCACTGGCTACCGGTTGCGGCTCGAATCAAGTTCAAGACATTGATGCTTGCATATAGAACAGCCACAGACTCAGCACCCGCCTACTTCCACTCACTACTACGAATCTACATCCCCTTCAGAAGTCTGAGATCCGCTAGTGAGCGACGCCTCGTGGTACCATCACAGAGAGGCTCAAAATCACTTTCCAGAACATTCTCGTTCACCACTCCTGGCTGGTGGAACGATCTTCCCACCCCTATCCGGAATGCTGAATCCCTGACAATTTTCAAGCGACAGCTGAAAACCCATCTCTTTCGAAGCTACTTGACTTCATCATAAAAAATAAAAAAAAACTCTCTCTCTTTATTTATTCCTTCTCTTTCTAGCTTGTACTTATTTGAACAATGTCTAAGAACTTGGTATTACAACCACTTCCTGTGTCTGTTTGCCTCTTAAGAAGAATCGCTTTATGTATCCCCCAATTGTAAGTCGCTTTGGATAAAAGCGTCTGCTAAATGACTAAATGTAAATGTAAATGTAAGCCTAATTCGGTAAATCTATCGCAACTGACTAATCATCTGATTTATTTGAGGTGCAGTTTAAATTTCAATTACATTTTGCCATTCAAATAAGGGAAATGTAAGCATATTATATTATATGCAATATTATATGCAACATTATTATATTGCATTATATTATATTGCATTATATTATATTATATTGTATTGTATTAAGGTTTCACTGGAGTGTGAATGTAAAGTGGACCAAGATTATAATTGAACAGAAACAATATATAAATAAACAAAATACATTTTCACAGCATTAAAGAAAATAATATTGGACTATTTAATTACATCTTTCCAAGTAAAATCTAAAAAAAATAATGTATCGTAATCATGACAGCTCTATTTTTCGGTAATTGAAAAAGCTGGAAAAAATATATTAGCTTAAAAACTTAAACAATTTGAAATGTTGCCTTGGCTAATAACTGAAATAAGTTTAAATAAACTGAAGTACTAAAATGAATTAAACTAAAACTGACAAAAAAAAAATCCTGACCCTGAACTTTTTTCCAGGGGTTGCGGGGGCGGACACATACACAGGGTTATTTGGCAAACAAAAAAAGAAACTAACTAGTAACGTATCTGCCATTGCCATTAGCCCTTGACAGGCTCAGACTACAGATTATGGAGGGATATTTGAAACAGCAATACCAAGAAAGTTTACTCATTACAATATGGTGCAAACACATGTAACATTTAGGATGCTTTTGATATCAAGTTTTGCTGGTTAGCTTTGTCCTTGACAGGGTACAAGATGACCTACAATCTAAAACATGAAATTTCTGTTCAAAAGAAATGAAAATTTCTAATGTAAATTAAATACTAGGGAAAGAATATAAAATAGGAAATATACAAAGACCGTTTACTACAGAAAACTACAGTTCAGTCTCACTTATCAATCAATATTGTTATTATCTTTCGAATTCTAATAAATAAACTGATCAAACAAAATGGTACAAATTAAGTGCAGCACATGCAAAGAATGCACGGACTGTGGCAACTTTAACATTTGAAAGGATACTATGGCAAAGTTATCGCTTTCCTTATTCAAACTGATTTTTTTAAAATATTTGTCTTTTAATCACAAAAAGTAAAACAATGCAGTTGTATTTTGAAATGTTTTAACTAATCTAGGGCTTAACTAATGATTATTTTGCTAATCAAGTAATCTACTAATTATTTTGACAAGTGAGTAATCTGATGTTTTTTTTAGTAATACAAATAGAACTAAGTGAAAAACAGGCTTTAATATGACTATATTTATATATAAAGTAACGATGAGGTAATAATAATTGACCTCAAAAAAAGTATCAAAACCAAGTAAATTGTTTTATTGAACACTGTTAAATACATAATGTAATATGCCTATATTATAACAAATACCTGCAGAGGGCACCAACGGACTGGTGATGTGTCATGTATTTCAACAACGTTTAAATCCATTTAATTTTAATATTTGGCCTCATGCAAAGTCAGAAACTTTTATTTTGAAATCGCGATGTACAATAAATCGCATATTTAGAAATATGTTGATGTATTCTCCTGTGTTGGGACCTACAATAATGTACAGTATTTGAAAAATAATGTGTTTTTTGAACATTAAAGCATGTCAACATATTCTGTTACACCAAATACACAAAATAATGATCTTTAAAAAAGCATAATATGACCCCTTTAAGAGATCATGTGTGAACAGAACCTTTTCAAAAATACAGGTAAATGCATTCTGGCAATCATATCGTTCTTATGGAGATGATGTGATAAAAAAAGCTGCTTTTTTAATAGCTTTTCTATGTAAATATAGATTACGCCAGATGGAAATCTTTGACCATTACTCCTCGCAGCTTTTTCAATGTGTCGTGCTCGAGACCCAGGCTTCTTTTCCATTCATCAGCTGCAACTCTGCAATACTATTATGCGCGTCTCGTGTTTATAAGAGCAAAAACTTCTGATTAGCTAGTAATGTTAGTTTGGTTGCTGTTTTAAAATGTAAAAATTAAAAAAAATAAAATAAAGCTGAATACAAATATTTTAAATAAAACACAAACGAATAAAAATGGCAAAAGAACAAACACAAACAAAAAGTTTTAAATGAAGTCAACAACGTTCACAAATCAGTCTAGTATTCGAAAGTTATCCATTTGAATCATTTAATGTCTCACTAACTCACTGAAGCGGCTCTTGACCAATCAAGTCACGAGTGAGTTGCATTGTCTACTTAAGACTAAAAGTTGACATTAGTATAATTACAAACAAGTTGTTCTTCATAAGAAATGTTTCTTGAGCAGCAAATCAGCATATCAGAATGATTTCTGAAGGATCATGTGACACTGAAGACTGGAGTAATGATGCTGAAAATTCAGCTTTGATCACAGAAATAAATTAAATATTAAAATATATTCACATAGAAAACAGTTATTTTATAGTGTAATAATATTTCATTTACAATATTACTGTTTTACTGCATTTCTAATCAAATAAATGCAGCCCTAGTGAGCATAAGAAACATAAGAAAAAAAATCTTACAGACCTCATATTCTTGCATCTATAAAAATCTACTTGCTATTTGATTATAATTATTTCCTCTAAAATTGCTTTCTAAAAATTCAATCATTTTAATATCTGCATCAAAAGAACACTGAATTCCGTTTGATACATGCATCTATTTGCTTATAATATAAACAAAAGTTTGCAAACTCACCATTCCAGGGTTCAAAGAACCTGAACGCAACACCTTGTTAACCTCTTTAGGGCTGATTGACACTTTAAGACTAATATGACCCTCCTTAATGGAGTCTAAAGACGACACAGCACATCTGATCAGCATTCCAGGAGTAAGTAGTTGTGAGAGAGGGACAATTTCCTGTGAAGAGCAGACAAACACAAACTAAATGCATCATACTGTTTAACGACAACATTCTTTCCTTGTGCAGCTGCATTACCTTCAAACTGTCTTCAGAGTCCAGCTTGTCCTTAAGAATATTGGTATAGGAGTCACAAATGTTGCAGATTGGCAGGTAACCAACGAGACCACTTGGGAGACCAACTACCGCCTCAAAGTCTGACACTTCCTTCACACAGCCCAGCATCAGCGTGCCAATCTTCAGATTCTAGACAGAGAAACCAGAGTGATCAGACACAAAGTCGTCAGTGGCATGACTCAATTCTTCGGTGTTTGTTTTTTTAAAATGTATATATTAACAAAAGAGTTTACGCATACACGAAGATGAAGAATTTCCACTCTGGCAGCAGTATTAAGCTTGAAATCCCCTTCTTCCAATTTTTGTTGTTTCTTTTTTTTCTTTTCATCCTGTTGCACGAGTTTTCTCTTCTTTGTAACCAGTTTCACGTGTCTGAAAAATATTACATACCTGTATATTACACTCATAGCAAGATGTGCAAGCTGCTGTATGCACATTGATCTTCATTAAAAAAACACTGTTGTAGTCACCACCACCACCACCACCACCATCATCATCATCATCATCATCATCATCATCATCATCCTCCTCCTCTTCTTCTTCTTCTTACTTCAAAAAGATTGTCCAAGCCATGTGCCTTAACATTTTTGGGCTCAGTGGTCTTTGTCCCACCACGGGAAAAATCTTCCTCCATAGACGCCATTCTTCACCATGTACCTAAATATAAAAGCTCTAATGAGTTCCAATAAAGAAACAAACGCATAAAACAGTCTTTTAGACATGAATTTGTCTTGTCTTACAACTGCTTACATGTTCTTACCAAACGGCAATATTAGAAAACACAACATATATAACTAACTTGTACTATAAAATGCACCGTTTAGTCAACATATTACTTACATGTAAATACGCAACAACTACCATTAAACCCCTCTAGCGGTAACAACAAATTAATTTGACTTACGCTATAAAACGTTGAGTAGAGCTCAATGCACGTAAACACACTCAATGCAAGTAAATCTCGCATGTTCCTCAGGAGAGTGCGAGCTGTACAAACCGGACGTAAACACTGAGAGGCGGGATTTCAGAATATGCCGAAAGGAAAAGAATCAACCAATAGGATGACGGGAAAATTAGATTGACGTCTCTGCGAACCTATTGTGTTAGTGCAAGAAGTGATTGACGTGAGTGTAATCCAGTTAATGCAGTCCATTCAGGCTATCACCACGAAGGCGGGATTTCCTTAAATCATTCACTTTCCGGCCACTCCATTGAAGGGCACCAGCTCGCTCGGTAAGTCATGATTCACAGTTTAATAGAAATATCTTTTATTCAGCGTGTTTTAGAACTCGATGCTTGCAAAACGAATATACGCTGCTCAGTAAAGCCCTCAGGTCGCATTTACCATCAAGACGCTTTGACTGAGGTGCTTATATACAAATTATAATATTAAATATCTTTGAAACATTATTGAAATTACCTATAAAATCTCATGTTAAAACTACAACTACATTTCAGGAAAAAACAGCCTGTCATTATTCCAATATGCAGTGTTGTCCTTTACGCATTTTGCGTGTCCTTACAGTCTATGGTCCTTACGCATTTATGAAAAGCGATGCGTAACTTTGAATGTATTTATTTTCATTTATGAATGCGTATATTAACAGTTTGCGCACAGAAATCATGGGAGGACACGACGCTGGAACTCACCACCAGTTCACTGGCATCGCCAAGTACTTCAATTCATACACAATCACAGGCAGGAGAAATGTACGTTTTTATATACCCTCGAATAATGCAAATTCTGCCATTATTATGCAGTTAAACTCAAGTGTGCATTGCCTTTGTATTTTTCTACTAATTTAAGTAATCCAGACTCTCTTTGTCCCTTGACTTCAGTGTGTGTTGGCCACATACGCCAGTATTGCTGCCATTATACTCTTCTTTAAATTAAAGCCCAAGAAGCAAAAGGCCGTGAAATCAAGTTAATTTATAGTAAGTACTGCCTAAATTTAACTCTAATCAAAATGTACATTTCCAAAAGTTACGTTGAACTCTTTTTTTTCCTGTTTTCAGGATGTTTTGTGGTGAAACTAGGGGTGCGGGAAGCTGGATGTCCTTGTTTTGACCTCATCACTTCAGTTCAACTATGTAAAGAATAAAAAAAAAGATCACTTACACCAAACAAACGTTGTGTAGAAAATTTTATTTACAATTTTAGGAACTAGTATTAAAATTTGTACAGAAACTGTGAACCGTGTTCATATGCGACACATTTCAAAGATCAATGACAATCAATGATCAATGGGGGGGGAATGCTTCAAATTTCCCGTTTGAAATGGGAAGCATGGCAGTGATGCTATCGATGAGAAAAAGAAATAAGCTTCTCGTGAGCATGAGGTGTAAAATCTGATCTAGAGTCAGCATATGAATGCTGCAAGAGGTATCGCTGGCTGCTGTATGCTCAGTGCTTTATGGTTCATTATGATGTCTTTCACTTCGCTTGAACCTATTTCACATATTAGGGTGAGCAGTAATCTTTCAATAACATGCACCATTCACGAAAAACAAACACAGCTACGAAAGGTCATTGTCCTCAGGAAGATGTGGTCACGTTACTGGGAGTTGTAGGTGCCTGCGGCCAGTAGCAGGTTGCGTCTGGTGAAATGCAGGTGGGTGACAGGTGTGGATTTGCTGTGGTACATGCCGAGCAGCAGCTCCTGGGAGTTATCGGGCAAGTGAATGTGGCCCGTCGTTGCGGTGAAGTCGTCAGTCTCCACTTCATCGAAAGCCTTCATGGAGTCCCACAGCCGAACTGTGTTATCCATAGAACCTGGAGCAAAACACATGGAATTTTGAACTGAACTGAATGACTATCAATAAGACGACAGAAGGCATTCAGTAGATTGTGTGCTGACCTGATGCGAGGATTTCTCCGTCTCTGCTGAACTTGAGGGCATAAATTGTGTCTGTGTGACCCTTCAGCTCTCCGATCATCAGCCCATGTCCAATATCCCATAGTAAAACTCTCCCGTCTGTGGATCCAGATGCCAGGAACTTTCCATTAGGTGAGAATGCTAGAGAATGGATGGGCCCCTGAAAAACAAACATTATCACTTTTACTATTACTACTATTATCATAGGTCATAGGATAAAAATAGTCATTGGTAATAAATTGCACATGAGATAGACATAAGAAACGAAGGGTTGAGCAGGTTTGTTAGTGATGGGTTTGAAATGACAAGGAGCAGTGTTTTGAATAGCAGCTGAATTAAAATATACAAATTATATAAAAAAACTTAATTAGAAATATCGCCTTGGCAACAAAATGAAATACAATCAGTTTAAGCTGAAGTACTCGCCTAAACTGAAATAAAAATAAAGCTAAACAAATATAGCTAAATTAAAATGAAAACTCAAAATATAAACAATTCATAAATACTATAATAGTAAGGCTACATGAATAACACTGAGAGGGAGAAAATGAATAATGAAAGAACTTCACAGAGACAGTGATGCAATGCAAATTCAAACATAAATGAGACGAATGGGATTTCCTGTGCAGTGCTCATATCTTCCAGTCACCTTTGGAAGCTTTCGATACCTTGTGACCTGTGAGAATGCGGACACAGTTTCCATTCAGGACGTCCCAGAGGCGTACAGTGCGGTCGGTCGAGCCTGTGGCCACATAGTTAGAGTTGGGGTGGAATCGCGTGCAGGTGACGTCAGCCAGATGCCCAGCAAATATCCGCAAGGGCTGGTAATGATCCATCGCCCAGAGGCTGGGAAGCAAATGAAGATATCCTATTTGATTAAGGTCTTGAAAACATCTGCAATATCTTGCCATTCATAGATGGGTCTCGCCATAACCATATTTGGAAACAGACTATATGATAATCATATAATGCTAAGCTATTTGGGTGAAAAACCTGTCAAAAAATATTCAGGTCATATTACTCGATAAAATCAAAAGAAAAAAAATCTAAAGACTTTGCTTAAAGGAAATAAGCCTTATTATATTTACAGATATATTTATTATTATTAACACACACACATATATATATATATATATACACACATGTTTGTATATAAATATATAATTTTTATTTAATATCTGTACAATTATTATATATTATCGCAACACACACACATAAAAAAATACTATTAAATATTTATACATTATTGTAGAATGTGCCCATTCAATATATGTATTAGTATACACAGATTTAAATAAACCTAAATTGTCATTACTGTAATAAAAACAATTAAATAAAACATTTAAAAAAATTATTAATAACAGCATTACAATAATGAGAATCTACCGTACCGTGCTACTCTGTCGTGTCCTCCTGACACAAAGTAATAGCCGAAGGGTGAGAACTGAGTGTCCCACACTGGATAGTTATGTCCTTTATACCCCACGAGACATGTAAACGTCTGCAGGCTCCACAGTCTGACTGTACCGTCCTCAGAACTGGACAACAGATAGTTCCTGAGAGACACACAGAGATATCAAACCACACTGTCAGATCAGCTGCTGCAGGAAGATATCAAATCACTTCAAACATGTTTAGTCCACAGCAAACTAATTGTTTGGTCGTTCTTATGCTTACACAGCTCCCCTGTTGTCCTGTATTACTCAGAGATACTCAGAAGACACATTTGATACCTGTCTGGACTGAAGCTGACACCATACACCGGCCCACTGTGACCGTGGAGGATCTTCGACTCACTGGCCGTCTTCTCATCCATGATCCTCTCCAGAACGTCATCAGACTCTTTATCAATCACATTCAGTTCTAGAGAATAGGACAGCATAATTGAAATCATACAAGGCGTCATACAATGCTTACACTGGGGTCTAGAAGCAGAAAATTGGGGATTGTCTTTAAAAGTGGAAATATAGGTATTGGAATGTTAAAAGTTGTAAGATATCAAATGTAAAGTTTTCACTCAAATGTGAGAGTGATTATGGAGGTACGTACCTGCTGTGGATTTGACTTTGCGCAATTTCTTGGGTGTGACGCTCCACACACGGACTGTGGAGTCTGCGAACCCTCCCGCTAACAGACTGGAGTCGTCAGTGAAGTCTACCGCCGTCAAACCCTGAGCGACAACACACGATCAGCAGGTGTGAAGTTAAGCAACACCCAACTAAAGCATCAACAAAAACACTGCCAACCTGGAAGGCGTTGAGGAATGTATAGAAGCAAATGGAAGGCAGGTTCTCGGGGCCGAGCCGGATTCTTTTGGTGCTCTCCTTCATGTACATGATCTTATCCAGTTTGTCCGAGTCCTTCAGCTCCGGCAGAGGGATCCTGTTATGTCAGAGGTTATGAAACTATATATCCAGATTCAAATAATTTCTAAGCATCATCTTTAAATTCTCATGAAAAAAAATATGTCCAATATACACTACACCTTTTAACAGTTTGGGGTCAGATTTAAGTCAGTAAGTCTGTTTTCTATTGTAATATATTTTAAAATGTAATCTATTCCTGTGATGCTAAGCTAAATTTTCAGCATCATTCCTCCAGTGTCACATGATCCTTCAGAAATCATTCTGATATGCTGATGTATTATCAATAAACATTTATTATTATCATCAATGTTGAATCATTTGTGCTGCTTAATAATTTCATGGTAACCATTATGCATTTTTTTTCTATATTATTTGATGAGTAGAAAAATCTAAATAATTTATTTAAAATAGAAATCTTTTATAACAATGAAAAAGTCTTCAATGTCACTTTTGATCAATTTAATGTGTCCTTGATGAATAAAAACTTTTTAAAAAATGTCATACCTGTTCTGTTGAGGAGCGTTGGGGTCTTGTTTCTTACTCTTGGAGCCCAGACTGTCCTTTTTTGTTTTCTTCTTCTTGGGCTTCCCTTCCTCATTCTCTGCTTCATCATCTTCATCATCTAACGGGACCTCAATCTCTGGCTCCTTTAGCAGTCCATAGAATACCTGGTACCATTAGAAACAAAACAGACATCATTAAAACACACAATCATTTTCAAATAAGAGATGATTTCAGTTCAAGAGACTGCAATTATGAGATAATTTTTTAAAATCTCTTTCAATGCCTTTCCTTATAATTTCCTCAAAGTGCAAACTCTGTCATTGTGATACCATCAAGTATCTTAATGATATTAAAAAAACATCTATTATATACAATAGCTTTCGAAAGACTTTTTAAAAAGAAATTAGCAAGGCATTAAATTAATCAAAAGACATTTACAATGATACGAAATATTCCTGTTTTAAATAAATACTGTTCTTTTGAACTTTTATTTATCGAAAATTCCTGAAAAAAAAAAAAAAAAAATTACGGTTTCCACAAAAATGAAATGTTTCTTGAGCAGCTAATCAGCATATTAGAATGATTTCTGAGGATCATGTGACACTGAAGACTGGAGTAATGATGCTGAAAATTCAGCTTTGATCACAGAAATAAATTACATTTTAAAATATATTCAAACAGAACGCAGTTATTAAACAGTTATTTTAAATTGTAATATTTCACTATTCACTATTTTTCATCAAATAAATGCAGCCCTGGTGAGCATAAAAGAGTTCTTTCAAAAACATTTTTAAAAAATCTCACCAACCTCAAACTTTTGAAAGGTAGTGTATATTTTCCATATGGAAACGTATCTAACCTTGGCTTTATTGACTTCTCGTCTGGCCTCTCCCGCGAGACTGCCGGACATGCTGTCGATCTGGCTCTTGCTGCGAGGCATGCCGTCAAAGATGTCGATGTACAAGTGCTCTTGAATGATGTTCCATATCTGGTTATTATGCCTTTCCTGCAAGTGTCTCTTCAGCAGCTGGTACGAGTCTCGGGAGATGCGCAGCACGAAACGGCTGGTGCGGAAGTCCAGCAGCACCTCGTTCCCCTTCAGGTGCTCTTTCTTAGTGAGGCTGCAGAGAATGCGCAGGTCATCCTGATAGTAACACTCCTGATCGCCGCTGAACCTATCAGCAAACAGGAAACGAACTGGTTAAGCCACTACTGAAGAGTCCAGTGTTTAGATTTACAGAATAAAAATGGTCATTATAGTCAAATTACATGAGGATAATCATATCATCCCTCATTAATTCCACAACGTAAACAAGATCTGATGCTTACTTGTCAAAGAAAGCCTTTGCTTTAGTCTCATGGTTGTTGTAGACCAGCTCCAGGTACATGTGGACGAACAGTGGGTAGAAGAGCTGGGACAGCTCCGCTCGGTGACAGTCCAGCACGGACTCGATGAAGTTCTTCAGGCCGCTGTAGTACACCTGATACAGGGAGGGGTCCCCCTGCTGGCTGTATGCTGACAACACCACACTGACATCCGGCTGGTCTTCTGACAACATAAACATAAATGGCAAATCACACCTGGAAATGTTGATGATACAACTGCATATTGAAAAAGTGGGTAGATCACAGCAAAAGATGCTACACGGTACAAAGACTAGGGATGCACCGAAATTAAAATTCTTGTCCGAAGCCGAAACTGAACAAAATGAAACACTGGGCCGAATGCCGAACACGGTTTTTCAAGTTTTTTCCC